AACGACAGCGGTGCCGGGCCGGGCCGGAGCACGCCGTACCCCCTGCACACCACCGTCACCCTCATCAGCCTGGCAGGCTTGCTCATGCTCTTCACCGTCTTCGGCAACGTCCTGGTTATCATCGCCGTCTTCACTAGCCGGGCGCTCAAGGCCCCCCAGAACCTCTTCCTGGTCTCCTTAGCCTCAGCTGACATCCTGGTGGCCACGCTGGTCATCCCCTTCTCCCTAGCAAATGAGGTGATGGGGTACTGGTACTTCGGCAAAGTTTGGTGTGAGATCTACTTGGCCTTGGATGTGCTTTTCTGCACCTCCTCCATTGTGCACTTGTGTGCCATCAGCCTGGACCGTTACTGGTCCATCACGCAAGCCATCGAGTACAACCTCAAGCGTACCCCGCGCCGCATCAAGTGCATCATCTTCATCGTCTGGGTCATCTCGGCTGTCATCTCCTTCCCGCCGCTCATCTCCTTCGAGAAAAAGAGCGGGCAGCAGGCTGACCAGGGGGTGGCAGGGTGCAAGATCAACGATGAGAAGTGGTACATCATCTCTTCTAGCATTGGCTCTTTCTTTGCCCCCTGCCTTATCATGATCCTGGTCTACATGCGCATCTACCAAATAGCCAAGAGGCGAACCAGGGTGCCACCGAACAAGCGGGCAGAGCGCCCTGAGAAGAGGCAGAACGGCTTGGCTGACAAGGAGGACCTTCCAGCCACAGCCCAGCTCAATGGGGAGAAGACAGCAGGAGGTGGTGGTGTGCAGGAGGGAGAGGTCAATGGCATAGACATGGAGGAGACCTCTTCCTCTGAGCACCAGGAGAACGACCAGTGTAAGAAGTCAGAGAAACCATCGAGGGGAAAGACCAAGACTAAGCTGAGCCAGATTAAGCCTGGGGACAGTTTGCCCAGGAAGGCAGAGGAGGAGAGGAACACCAAAGGGTCTCGGTGGAGGGGCAGGCAGAACCGGGAGAAGCGCTTCACCTTTGTGCTGGCGGTGGTGATCGGGGTCTTTGTCATCTGCTGGTTCCCCTTCTTCTTCACCTACACGCTGCTGGCTGTCTGCAAGAGCTGCTCCGTGCCCGACACCCTTTTCAAGTTCTTCTTCTGGTTCGGTTACTGCAATAGCTCCTTGAACCCCGTCATCTATACCATTTTCAACCACGACTTCAGACGGGCCTTCAAAAGGATCCTCTGCAGGATAGAGAGGAAAAGGATTGTTTGAAGGACCCTTTGCTATAAGCAGGACTAATTCAAGACTTTGTAGGAGAGTAAGGCATGGCTCTCTCAGGCTGTGCTTGCATGGGATGGTTTCCTTCAGCTCATGAGCAGGAAGCCTTTAAAACCCAAGATGAGCCTATGGAAATGCCGGCAGCAGGAGCAAGGAGCAGCAGGCAAGTGGAAGTCTGAGCCGTGGCATTCGGCTTTCCAGAGGAGGATGGATTTTGACTCGCTTGGTTTATTTTGTAAGTTTTTTTTTCTTTTGCCAGAATCTCTTAGTGGATATTTTCAAGACTGCTCAGTTTGACTCTTTAAAGACAAGCAGCGTGCAGCTCTGTGAGACGAACAACAAAGAGGGAGTATGCCACCCCAGAGGTGTTGGCATTTTATTTTATTGTATCTTTTTTTGTTGTTGTTTCCTGTTGCATATGTAATTAATTTTAACCCCCTTGTAAAATACAGTATTGTATCCCTAAATCTGAATGTCTTAATTTTTGTAAGGCAAGCAGCTTTGAAACTGTGAGTGCTTTAATTATCTCTGACACCTTGAAAGTCCTTCTTTTCCCACCCCTGAAACCTCCCTCACTCAAAACCGCTGAACAACTAGAGCCATTCCCCCTGCCTGACAGTTTGATAATGTTACCAAAACTTCCAATGTCCGGTCATTTTTTTTTTGACTTTAAATCTTAGGATTACAGACCTCATCGGACTGGCTGTTTTTGTTGTTGTTTTTTTATATCGTACCTGATTCTGTCCCATTTCTGTGTTGCCTGTGTTATAACACAGCTGAGATGGTAACTGCCCTCTCGTTATTCATTAAAGCAGACCCTGACGGAGCGGTGGGTTTGCGGGGATGTCCCAGGTGATGGAGTAACAGGCTATTTCCCGTGCAACGTGAGGCTTGGGACCCAGCCAAGCTCCCCGCGAGTTAATCTTGGTTGATACTATAGCACACCGCAGCACCAAAATGTGTTCGATGCTAACTTGCTTCCCCTGCCTCCGACTGTAAATAGATAACGTTTCAAAGCGAGTAGCGGGGCTCCGTGTATCATGTTATCTCATTTGTATTGATTCGTGATGGTTTAACTCCTGCGGGCTTTCCTGCCAGAAGAGGAGGGGGTTTGTGCGCAGAGGCTGTGCCACCTTTCTGAATTAAGGGAGAAGAGTTCTGTTTTTAATCTGCCAGTCTCATCTTTCCTAGGAAACATGGAAGCATCCCTCTCTGTCTTATACAGGACAAAACTCTGAAATGGAAAACGCACTGACAGTTTCTCCAGTATTTTATAGTGTAATTAAGCTTTTTTTTTTTTTAAAAAAAATGTAAATATTGTGAGATGGGAGCAGGAGAGAGAGTTAATACTGCTTTTACACTCTTTTCCTGAAATGTCTTTCAGCTCTTTCTGCTAGAAAAAAAAAAAAAAAAAGATAAAAAAATGGACAGAACAAATCTAACATCCTTGTGCCATGAAGAAATTTCTGGAGAATATTAAAAGGCAAAACTTTTGATCCATCACAGTAAATGAGTCTGTAAGCCTTTTAAAGTTATGAGAACAGCTTTATCAAATACTGACAAGTCATAGAAATTGTTTGGAGAAAGCGAAGTTTGTGTAAGTCTCGTGTATAAGATGAATTTGCCTTTTCTGGAGTCATATGGTGCACAGTCATATGGAGAGACTTTAAAACAAATACCTTTTTTACTTTTGGGAAGTGTTTTGTTGATTTTGCTCTCTCTTTGACTTTGTAATTAACTCCAAGGGTCCTCGGATGCATCTTGGGACCTGGAGAGCAATGTTTACATTCACTTGCATTTTCAGAATTGAATCCTCAAGAGGTGAGGAAAGCAAATAAACTGTGCTTTACTGTAAAAAAAGCAAACAACAAACCACGAGCAGAAGTTGCTATAATGGATGATTATTTTTTATTAAATAAAAGAGCGTTTACAGATCAAATGTGAAAACTCTCTGAATAATCTGTTAGCTGTTTTGTTTTATTTTATTTTCCAGCTGTTCACCGATCCTCTGGCAGCTTTGCTTTTGACGTTTTTTTTAAAGAACACACTGAGAAAAATCACTCGTGTTTTCTGAAAGGCGTTGTTACCCCAGGTAGGGAACAATGGCTTGGTTCATTGTGCAGTGGCATAATAACAAATGATTCCTTGATATTTCTTGGGTTTTCTGCTCCCCCCTCTAATACCACAGTAAGAGCATTCACGTGTTTCTTAAAGAAAAGAGCTGAAGAGTTTCAGGATGTGATTTGCTCCGTGGAAATGCAGCCTGGCACTATTGCTGGGAACGCCTGTCTGGTGCAGCGTTTACAGCTATTGAGTTGAGAAGGTTTTTAATTAGCTTGCAGAGGGGATTAGGAATGATTAGGCTGGAAGGCAATATTTCTTGGTATATGCAGGTGTGTCCGTCTGAGTGGGGCTTTGTTTCCAGCTACTGAGAGCCAGCCGGACAGAAGGGTGATGGGGGATAGTTCTCCCACCGAACGAAGCGCTGCTCCTGTGCAGCTACCTCCCTCCCTGAGGACGCTGGGGTCCATTGGCCATCAGCTTCAGCTGAGCTCCTTCTTTGCCACAAGTGCCAGGTAGCTTCAAAGGTGGGGGTGGGGGGGACATGAGGTGCTGATCCTGCGAGTGCTTTAGAATCAGAGAATGGTTAGGGTTGGAAGGGACCTTAAAGATCATCTAGTTCCACCCCCCCTGCCATGGGCAGGGTCACCTTCCGCTGGATCAGGTTGCTCAAAGTCTCACCCAGCCTGGCCTTGAACACTTCCAGTCATGGGGCATCCACTACTTCTCTGGGCAACTTGTTCCAGTGCTTTAGTGTGTGCTTTGTTTTGCTCGAGGGCACATGTAACTATTTGGGAGCTCTGGCTCCTGGTCTTCCTGATGTTGGGGTGCCTGGAGTCACCCTGCTTCCCTGCTCTGCTTCTTATTTGGTGAGAAAATATGTGACCAGAGCCTAGTGCTGGAGCTGCTGGTCTCATGGCCCCACTCTGCCACTGCCACCGAGGTCACACCCTGGAGGTGCTCATCTAGCTGGGAGGTGGACAAGGACTGGCAAGCAGCATCACTGCTGGGCATGGGGCCCCTGACGATGGCCTAGAGATGAACCTCTTGGTCACCTTGTGGTGGCCTTTGCAGGCCAGAAGGGCTTGATCTGGGCAGTGTCCTGCTGTCCATCCTCTGGTCTCAGCTGGCCTTGTTGGCCTTGGAGGGTTTTACAAAGCAGACCCTATGGGAGATGCAGCATCCAGTGCCTGGGGCAAGAGGTAATCCAGCAGTGGTTGGTTATGTTTGCCCCATCCTTCTGGCTGGCTGATGTCCCTGTGGCCAAATGGCTAGCACAGATAGTGGAGTATTTTGGTGAGTTTCAGGCTGAGGGACTGGGGCTTTGGTGGGCTCCCAGTTGGTGAAGCTTTGCACAGCTGAAATGTCTGATTGTGCCCAATTCTCTGTCAAAAGTAAAATAAGATGCAAAAACCTGAAATTATGCCTCCAGGGTTGTGTCCCTCCCAAAACCTTGTGCCCTCATGGCTCAGCCCAGTCAAATAAAACATTCAAGGGACTATTTTACATGGAGGCAGTGACTCGCTGCATCCGACACTACAGACACTACAGACCTGCCTGCCTGTCCCTGTGGCTGGTATCTGAGCTTCCCCTGTCCTGCTGCCTTTGTCACCTTCCAACTCAAGCTTTTATTTAATTTCCCCTGAGCTGTTGGTCATTTTCAGCTGTGTCTTGAACCCTCCACACCTGCTGGAGATGGCCATGTCTAAGCCACAGTGACCTCTGGGCATGTGGGCTGTGTGGTGGAGGTGGTGGAGTGAAACCACCATCACTTTCCCTTTAGTAGGTGAGGACCAGCCTGCTACCTCTTAGCTGGAGGTCGTGTTGCTGTGGGCTTTGCTGGGATGCTTCCTCTGGCCCTGCCATAACTGTGTCCAGCTCTGCTGTCTCGCTCACATGCATGCCTGCCCCATCTTGCCATGGGGCTGAGTCCTACCACCCTTTCCTGGTCCCGATGCCCGACTCTTCCCCTTCTGCCTTCCAAATTTCTCCCTGGCAGGAGAAAGCTGCATCATTGCTCCCAGCTCATTCCCATGCAAATAGCACATTAGAGGATGTAATGAACTTTGGTTGGTTTTTATAACCTTTTGTTTTGGGGCTGAAAGGTTAATGGTGGGAGGGTAGAGAGGGAGACCTGCCTCCCTGGTGGGGTGGGAGCCATCCAGGCTGACACAGTGAACCCCAGGAGGGGTTTCTCCACAGCTTTCCTGCATGGGGTGATCCTGCACCCCACCCCTTGTGTGGCGATCCCCAAGGACAGCCCAAAGGTGTCAGCTCAGGGACGTGCAGGATGGGCTCAGGTGAGATGTGGCGAGTGTCCCAAAATGTCCCCAGGGGCAAGCTGCACGAGCAGCTGGGTTGCCCTTGCAGAGACTGGTCACTGCCTGTCCAGGGCTTGTCCCTGACTCTCTCATCCTGCTGACACCCTTATTTCTGTGGGGTTTTGGCTCCTGTTCTCCTGGGGACAAGGAGCTGGTCACACACAGGAGCCTCTTCCAGATATTCCAGCGAGGGATGCACTTGGCCTGAATCACTCTGAGCACACAAAACGAGTTCCTCAGGCCTGGGGGAGCCTCTGTGGGTGTCAGCCCATGCCTGTCAGCTGTCCTGTGCCGTAAGTATCCCCCATCCCACCCAGCATCCCCTCCCCCAGGGTTGCTGGACCTGGTGCCCTGCAATGTCCCTCTGGGTTGGGTTGGGGTTGGGTTGCTGGCCCAGCTGCCTGTGAGGTTCTCATTAGCTGAAGCTCTTTGTTTTATTTTATTTCTTAACATTCCCTGTTCTTTCACCACTGGAAAAGTTCAAAGTCTGTTGAGATTGCTCCTTTATTACAGCCCGTGCTCTGGCTGGCAGCTACGCTTGGAGCTCCCACCATCTCTGCTATGAACTGCTCTTTGCAGCTGGTTTATAGCAACATCTCTGTGACTTGTTAA